CATGTAACCAATTATAGAACGGAATTTGGCGTGTATGCCGGTTACTTTGTGTCAAGGGCGGATCCAGGGGGAGGCCAAAGGGGGCCATGGCCCCCCAAAAAACGATTTTTTATTTTTTTTATTTTTTATGTGACGTCGCAATAAAGGCAGGCAATGACTACACCACCATCTTTTCCTAAAAAAAAACATTGGTAAAAGTGGTCAGAAATTGCCTCAGATCGCACCACAGAGCATCTAGAATCAAAAAAATTTAGGGGCCCTTAACCCTAAAGGGGCCGGGTTATTTTGACCATCTCTCAGCCGGGGGGGGGGCGGATTCCGCCCCCCCCCTAAGATCTCGGCCATCGAGTGACGAAAATTTTTGAAACTCACTACATGCATAGAACAACTCTTCCTCAACATGCCCAAGAAATTTCATGACTATAGGTCAAAGGGTTTTGGAAGTATGGCTAATTAATTATTCATATGTATGAATGCCAATTCTGCTCGGTGTACACGACCTATATGTGAAAATTCAGTTTTCACGGCGCGTAGCGCCGGAAAATTTTTCGCTACGTGCAAACCCGTGGTCCGATTTTTATGTTTTTGGTATCAAAAGATGCGCAAAGCTCAAGGCTAAAAAGTCATAATAGCTCGGGTCGCGAAAAATTTTTTTTTAGAAGCTATCGCGGAAAATGTTGAGGGGGGGGGGGCGGATTCCGCCCCCCCCGGCCCTTTTAGGGTTAAGCGGGCCCCGAACCCCACGCCGTAATTTTTTGACCCACTTTTTGGGGGGACCAAATGTTTTTTTGGCCCCCCAAAAAATTGTCTTCTGGATCCGCCCTTGCTTTGTGTGCGTAACTAACGGCAAGTAGAACATGAAAGGGAATCAAGATCAATATTGGCACGGGCTAAATTTGCACTGTGGTTTCCCAAATAGAGTTATAGCTGTTAAATATGTTGATGTGCATAAACGCCTTTTTACGGAAATAATGAGAGTAAACGCGAATAATACTTTTTGTACATTATCACATCTTTGAGCAGCGACCTCTATTTTCAGACGGTGTCCCTCCCCACTCTTGCTTGTATAATTTCCCAGGCTGCTGGTCCCCCAACGTTGACAAGAAATCACCGCTACTCATTGCAATTACAGCCCTGTTGATCTACACTTTTATTTGACACCGGTTACTGCTTGAATAGCCTCGGTCTTTCGAATTTTTAGGTACCATCACTTCCGTGGGCTCCGGAAAAATTTACCCCCAAACGAGCCCAAGTTTCCCATAAAAAAAACAAATGTCAGTTTTCACAATAAATAAATAAATAAATCAATAAATAAATACTATGCAAATATTGAATGTAACTCTTCGTGAAGTTGACCTATCGCTGTAGAATCGACTTAGAATCGCGTCAACGCAGCTTGTGAAATATCGTTCAATTACATGATATACAAATGAATGCGGAACGTGCAAAATCTGAGACAAACAAAATTAAGTGCACAAAAATTCCATAGGGTTGTCTAAGGGGCGTGGCTAACTCGCAAACGGCGATACGTCAATTACCCACAAAAGCGTCTGATGAAATGTAGCGCGACAAACTGATGTGTCATCTTAGTATAACGTAAGCGTCGGTACAATTGCGAATTATATTTTTAAAATTTGAAAATGAAACTATTTTAACACAACACAAAATATATAAACTTCAACAATATAATTTTCCCATTTTTTTTACACTGACTGCTTATACAAGCTTCTGCGGAAACAACAGAACATTTTACATACACCGACCTGCAATAACGGGTTAAGTTTCAAACTTTTGTTGCCAAAGATTTGCCTAGTTACTTAAACACTTGTATTATTTAATAACATGAAAAGATACTTTAATGTCTTTCAGATCGTCGTTGGGTTCCATTGGTAATTCCGATTTTGGGAACTTCGCTCAGGAACGAACTTAAAGACCCTTCCACGGAATTTAAATTTTACAATTGTTAGTAAGTGGGAATCCCTGTATACCATTATAATTATAAAGGTAAAAAAAAAACAGTCTTCAAAATTGAAACTACCAGTGTTATTTTTATTAAAAAGAACTTTTAAACTGATGAAGAGGTAACAATCACTATCATAAATTGGTTATTTTTTTGTTGAATGTACCTTAACTTAACTGCTAGGCGATTAGGAATGCACTCAAAATTGACGCCTGGTAAAATATACCGTATGCATGGCAGCCATGTTGGAGGGCTGATTTGTTATATTGGTATGCTCATACCTTGACAGAACACACGCACTGCCCTCCAATATGCCACTGTGTGGGAGGTCTATTTATCGGGCAGGACAGGTGATAACAATTTTAAAAAGAAACATAATTATGTGTATTTAGTAACTTTAAAATTATGGTATAGTCACTAATCATTCGTTCTCATGGTAGGTGAAGTGAATTTCTCTGAAAACTAATCAAATGTCTTTTAACTTCGATAAATTTCAATCCATGTCTTTGCCAAATGATTAAGATTTGAAACTTTGCTGAATTGAAATTGTTATGATATACATGAATCGTCTCTCAGAAAGAAATTCACTGCATTTTAGTAAAATCTTAACGAATTGCGCTAACTATAATTAGAGGATTAAAAAAACAAATGTCACTTGTGTGCTGACGCAATTTGTTTAAAATTCCACTATCTATTGTGCACATGTTAACCGTCACTTGAAATTACGAAATACACTGAAAATATCAAATATAATTAATGTCCCTTAAAATGGGTAAAATGTCTTAAACTACGCCGTCTCATTGAACACACAATACATTTCAACTTTCAATCTTGAAATTACGATAAACATTGAAAATGTCTAATATAATAAATGTCCCTTAAAATGGGTCAAAAGTCTTTAAACTACGCCTTTTTCTTGAATACACAGCACATTTCAACTTTTAATCTTGAAATTATGATAAACATTGAGCATGTCAAATATAATAAATATCCCTTAAAATGGGTAAAAGTCTTTAAACTACACCGTCTCCTTGAATACACAATACATTTCAACTTTCAATATTCGAATTATGATAAACATCGAAAATGTCAAATATAATAAATGTCCTCAAAATGGGTAAACTTTCTTTAAACTACACCCTCACCTTTAATAGGAAATACATTTTCAAAGTTCAATCTATGACAGCTGCTTTAAAAAAAAAAAAAAAATTTCACTCAGTTATGCATTGAAAAGTAAACAGACGGCTAAAGTAATATGGGTGTATGGCTTCTTACTAGCGCCCCTTGAACAAGGACATTGACAAAGGGGGAAACAGCCAACACAGGGCTGGATAGCTCAGTTGGTAGAGCACCGGAACAGCAATCCGGAGGTTGCAGGTTCAAACCAAGTTCTAGTGAATTTCATTTTTCAACTTAAAATAATTGGTGCAACGAATGTTTCAGATCTTCACAATGCCACAGATAGAACAATGCACTTTTACAAACTGTACAATATTTCACATAAGTTTGCAAACTGACTAAATCTGTGTGGTCGCTATGTGTATTTTTTCTTTTTTTTTTAGATATATTTAGTTGACTCATTTAAAAATAATTATTGGTTACAGGAATAAAAAGAATTGAAACATTCTCTAACTTCGCACTGTCGTTTCAAACTAATTGAATATGTAAAATCTTCTCAATCAATGCTTTAAACGTAATAGATTTAATTATTTTTGCATTTTCTTACAGATAACAATTTATGAGACTTTTGCAGGATGAATCAGACATTTCTGAATTCAACAATTCTAACCTAATTATAATATATTTAACATGCATTTTTTACAATTTCTTGCAAACTATATTAACTATATATTGAAATGACAATCACGTAAAATTTCCCTTAAAATGGGTAAAATTCAAAACTGTATATCTCTATACTATTTCTTTTTAATATTCAATTTTTAAGCCGATGCACTTTTAAGACCGATTCTCCAAGTTGGCATCGATAAACACAACAGACGATATGATAACTGAGAAAATCACAATCATCTTATTAGCTATACTAAAAAGCAAACATTGCTTATTTAAATGTCCTTTTAATCGGATAAAACCTGTTTCAATATCTCAATGTTTGACAAAGCACATCGTGAAAAGGAAAACAAAATGCATGCAAATACAACACAAAGGGCAAAAGAAGCCCTTTTTGTCGGACCAATGTTAATTATTTACCTGTTATTTCATAAGGTGTTAGTTACAAATCTCGCTGCACTGTTTGAGTCGTTGATGTCAGTATGTGATGAAATCAACATTGCCCCTAACAATATCCCTGGGCTTAAGCACCTTAGCCAGCCGCTTTTGAAACTTATTGAATCTGACAGTGAACACAATCTGGCTCTTATTAACACACTCTTAAATGTCCAGGTCAGATTCGACCTAGAATCCGGGTCCGATATGACCTGACTCACTTCTGGGTCAGACTGACACTTCTCTGAGTCACTTGTCCGGGTCATTTAGCCCGGAAAAAAGTCACGAAAACTTGTTAGTTAAATGGCCCTAGAAAAGAGTCTTTTTACACAAACAATTCTGATTTTGACCCAGAATAGTGCCAGGTCAAATTTGACTCGGAATCTGAGTTGAATCTGACCCAGGACTTTTATAAGAGTGCGACTGATTAGTGATATATGGCAGTAATATTTCGCTATCCGAGAACCCCTGGAAACCCCTTAAAAATAATAACCAATTGTGAGCTAATTTTAACGTTTTAGTTGCAACTTTCAAACGTATTGACACACATTAACATATTGCGAGCTATTTTTTTTAAGCGATGGAGCCATACTCACTCTGCTTTTAATTCCATTAGCCTATTTGAGATATGGTGGACACAACAGGAGGGCGTTATTTGTAGTCAATGAACGTTTTTGTAATTTACTCAAATTGGCCCACTCCAAGATTTGCGGCCTCCTATTTCGTTCGCCATGTCAAAGGGGCAAATGCAGATACAAGGAACGATCGTCCTATTTACGACCATTTGGCATTTTCAGTTATGAAATGACGACCAAACCTGCAAGTCATATTATCCCATTTCCAATTGTATTCTTGTCTTATAGCAACACAGTCTTGGCCTTTCCCTCTTCCGTTGTCAGGCTGATCGCTTGCCCATCGCGTGAAGGTGGCACCAGAGCTGGCACTCCACACGAAGCGCGTCTCCCTCTCCATATCGTTGTATCCGAGCCAGGCCTTTATAGAAGGCAATTCTTCCAATGGATAAAAAGCTTTAAAAAGCTCCACTATAAATTGCTGTTCTTCTAAGCTGTTGATGGATACAAGGTGCGCTGGAAACCAATCAGAGTTGGACAATTCCCGACAGTAGTTTTCAGCTTCCAGGGCAACTTTTCAGTGACCAGTCGGTAGCAATCTCCGTCGAATGCTACCCAGAGCTAGGGCATGGGATGCAATGTTCTGCCCGGCAGCTGTCGAGTGTAAGGAGTGAAAAGAAAACGAAATAAGCGAAGATTACCGAAAAGGACTCCGTACTTGAGAGATGAAAATTCAACCATCCGAACGACTGCTTGGTCGAGAATACCTCAAATTATTTCCATGCAAGCTTTGGGTGAATATTGCAAAAATGTTGTCTTCTACGACCACATTGAGGTGTTTCGCTGTGTAAAAAAATGGTGCTCTGGCCTACGACTTGAACTGCGTTTTGTGTTCTTGAAGTGGAGGCACGCAGACGAGCTCCGAAAATTCAAACAGGCAGCGCAGGTGTTTACTCAGACTTACTTAATACCGCTTCCCCACTTTAGATCTGAGAGTCGGTAGCTTACCGACGCCGCGCCGACACCAATGCTTGCTCAAAAGACAACATGAAGATCAATGAAAAGAAGCATTAAATACCTAGCGAGTTTAGTATCATGAAAGAGACGAATGCGAACCCCCTGTTCGTTCTGTCCATCATTGTATGACTTGCGAAGGCCTGCCGTTCATTGGTTTGAAATGGGGTCTTCGCTCTGACAAAAAGTAATTATCCACGAGGCTGTTGTAATGAAAGAACCGGTAACAAAGATTGAACGTGAAGCAGAGTAGCGGTTGTTTGGCAGCCGAATCGATCATAAATGCATTCTACTTGTATATGTACACGCGTAACATAGCAAGGCCATTTTGATTAGGGGGGGGGGGGGGTTAGACGTGAAAAGTGACGATTGTCTCATCCCTGCACGCGTCTCATCCTTCTCATTGTATCCACTTTCCACAGCAGACTTTCGTCAATATTTATGATTTTCCAAGGCCTGCCGTTAATCGCTTTGAAATGTGGTCTGCGATCTGATAGTTAAAGTTAATTAGCTCCAAGGAGCTGTGATAATGAAAGAACCGGTAAAAAGATTGAACTTGAATCAGAGTAAAGGTTGCTGGCAGCTGAATCGATCCTCATGCAATCTGCTTGAACATGTACACGCGTAAGCAGTTGCGTATAGAGGTTTTTTTTAATTGTTTGTGTGTGCAGGGGGGGGGGCGTTGGTAAAACGTGTATTTTAAAAAAAAAGTGGTCAAAATTTCTTTCGATCCTTAAAAATAATAGGTAAAATCGAGAATGGAATAATAAAAAAAAAAACCAGTAACGGTTGAAAGGTGGAAGTGCATGCTTTCATTAAAAATAAGGCATTGGATATATCACTTTGCGCAAGAGTAACATGATTTCACCACTTATTGATCGCTTAGCTGCCATTTAATAAAGGTGTTTACGGCTTCCTCCGCAGATACGTCAACTCCACATCAACCCCGCGCGAGGCCGGTACGGTTTTAGATCGCGCGTGTGAACATCAAGACTTGTGGATCTTTTCACTCGTCGTAAGTATAATGAAACATTAAACATAATTTACTCTGTCGAATCAAAGATAAATCTATTCATTGAAAAGGAAAACATTCAATTTCAAATGTGATGAATAGGTCAAATATTTGTTACTAGTACTAAAAAAGCACTTGTGCACAAAGCTAAAATGTCACCTAACCCAGGTTGACCTCATCCTGCCTCCCCGCAATTCGGTATACTTATGTTTTGGCCTGCGACATTAAAATTCCTCGTCCTAAGGTCGTTTTAACAATAGGGCGACACGAATCTGTCGCCTCAATAAGGCGTGTCGCCCTAATGCAGCTGCGATGAGCAAAATCTGTCGCCTTTTTATTTGATTTTGTAGTTCTAACAATTCCATTATTATTATGATGGGAGTGGTCATACGGCGGACTGCACTTTCGAACATCCAATGAGCTATCCAGATCTGTTGAACGATGCTTCGAGTGTTTACGGGTACGGGTCAGCTGTAGTGTGAGTTTGTAACACCTCCTATCGGGGCACAGTCCACCGTCCCATTTTGAAATACTCCGATTTTGGGGGGATTTTTTAAGGTGTATTTGGTTTATAAACAGTTTTCTCTAATTCAATATCGCTCACTCTGATATCGCTAACATGCTGGATGTTTTGATGAGGATCCTCAGGCAAAGCATTTTTGTTTTCAAATTCTCGGTTTATTTCATCTGGTTGCCTCACCAGTTTGTCTTCATCACTCAGTTTTTATAGACGACACCAGTAAACATGCGCCACCTACTGTAAAGGTAATGTCGTGGTAAGGCGGTAGGATTTGGCCACTTAAATAAGTCAAGTTCAGTGTTGATAACAATCACATTTGGGGCCTCTCGTAAGAAAGCGTAAGGAAGTCCTCAACCTACCTCAACAAGTTTGATCTAGGATAAGTCGTTTGCTGGTGACGTAACTTACACCTGCGCACTAATATCAACATGCGAATTTTTCTAGTCAATATTTGGTAAAAATGTGCATAATACTCCTTGGTCCTGGTTCCTCGCTATGAGTTATGACGCTCGCGGCTATTGTTACCAGCGAGGCAACCGACCTTGACAGGAGATAGACTGGATCTGAAATACTACTCTGTCGACTAACCCTAATTCTCGCTAGGATGAAAACTGATATCGAACGTTCGCAACTTAACCTACACAATAACTAACTCTAGCTCTCCCCGGAGGGAGAAGTTTAGCGACTTTGATGTGCTGTCAAGGGCCTATTATGTCTGCATGTCTCATAATACAAAAATGGGGAGATGACATTGTACTGTTTTCGGTCAGTCATGCAGAACATAGGTTCGCATAATCCAGCGAGGGGGGGGGGGGAGGGGGTATTGACCCTCCCCCCCAAATCCCAACTATTTTGTAAAGACTGCCTTTTCCATTCAAATGCCCTTTTTACAACGGGCTTACCCCCAATAATTTGTAAAGAGTGCCCTTTTTTTAAGAAGTGCCTTTTTTTCTGAACAAGTACTCTTTTAAAAAAAGAAGTGGTGCCCTTTTTTGTGGCATCCGCCGTTTTGGGTGCCTTTTTTCAGATTTTCGCACATGTATCGCCCTGAAAAGCACCATTTATTGGCCCTTTGTGTGCATAATCGTGGTTTTGAACAGCGCCCCCATGGACAGATGGTTCCAGCTGCCCCCCCCCCCCCCCCCGCCAGAAGAACAGTGCTCAGGACGGTGATCCAGAAATAGACACAATTTGGTGCTATAGGGCTCCCACCATCGGTGAATTCACGTAGAGTAAACTGCATGTAGGGCCTACACCACTAGGTCGTCTTTTTAAAGATAATACCGGAAGTGCATGTAAATTTCGGCATGTAGTTTCTATCATACACAGCGTTTATTGAAGGTTAAATGATGCGTTTAATGGGGAAACTCACCTTCAGAAAGTCTTGATTTTAAATGAGTCGATCGCACTGCTTTATAGTTACGGTTTCTCGAGTTCGCATATAAAGTACCGATGATAAGTGCAAGGATAGGTGCGCCATGCCCACCCTCGAGACCGATGACTGTAAACACAATCGTAGCTGCTGTCTTCATTAGAGAGGGGTGGAATCCACTTAGTATACCCAGGGCTCTGCAAAGATTCACTCCAGACGAACACATCCTCGCGTTCAATATCGTTCAGTCCCATCCACCAAGCGTAAACATATACTTGCTGGGTCTCTTCAACATACTCAGCCAAGAACTGCTGCTCCGCTTCACTGTTGATCGACACAAGGTGCGCATGCCCGAATCGACGGGGTGGCAACTGCTGACAGAAGTACTCAGCATCCGCCCAAGGAAGTCGTTCAAGAACCAACCGGTAGCAGTGGTCCCCAAATGACATCCACTGGAACGGGCACGGACTGCAGCTGGCGTGGGTACCAACGATTGACAGAAAGGTAGATAGTGCAAGAAAAGCGAGGCGTGGTAGAGTTGGTGACATCTTCACAAAAGGTTTATCAGTCCATAATGCTGAATTAGAAACCAGTTCATGTAGTCAACATGTACACAGCATATAAGCGAACAAATCCAAAGAGGGTACGGGATATTTATCCAAGATAAAATGTGGGAAGCTCAGTGAAACTGTAGGTACATCGGAGCATAATACTCAAAGTATTTCATTCACGAACCTGCCAAATAAAACGGACCCGAGGAAGCGAATGGACTTTGGTTCTGCGATATCACACGGTTTCCAATCTGCCACACCTTAGCATGACGTATTACCTAGAAGTGCTTTCACCTAAATTTCCATGCGCGCGCATTATAGCCTTGCCAACAGACCAATCCTTTTACGCGTTCACGCGTGGCACTGTCAATCGTCGTCCAAACTGACCTTGCCCAAATCCTCACAATATTTTAGCGTAAAAATCTACAACAGAAAATCCCATGGTAACGGTTGGTATGTTTCGCGAGTGATCACGGATATCAGGCTTGTCAATAAGGAACAACCTACGTCATGGAAGTTAATCAATCTAATGTAGATGGAGATCGAACGAGAGAGTCATTAATTGTCCTCGTTATCAAACCAGCAGAGCTTAGTATGAAGGCCCAATCTCGATAATTGAGAACGGTGAAAAGAAATATTGCCCGAAGCGCGCCTAAAGATGATTACCCAATTAGTGATATCACCGCAATACAATAAAGTGCACTGTGTGTGGGTGTGAGCAAGCGTGATCTGTTACACGGTACCCTCTGGAGACTTGTGCACAATAGGGAACAAAAGATTGGACACGTCTCGTCAGGGCAATTCCTATCGGTGAATTCGTCTCCACAAGGTTATCACAAAATAGATATATTGATTTTACTCAAAAACTAGGAATTTTCAAGGTGTGTCGATTAGTCGCCAATTGATTTTTTTATGTAAGGGATATTAAGTTCCTTATTTTGGCCCAGGAAATTAATTCTGGTTAAAATAGCATCATTTTGAAACTTCACTTTCAAACTCAAAAACTTTAGTACACGAGAACAAAGAAATGACTCAACAAGGATACAAATTCCAGTATGTCTAGAAATGTGAACAATAGATGTCTACACAGCGTAGGGTCCCGAAACATTTGCAAAAACTTGTAGGCATTTGTGGGATAAACCCGGCACTCGCCTTTCCTATTTTACCGGTTCATCGGATCA